TTTCTACACTGCTTATAGTTAATAGCGTTGATAAAATTTTCCTATCATTTAATTAAATTTGAAATACCATACTGAAATAACAAAAAATGCTAACAACCGTTCCGTAGTCCCTTAACATTGTTCACATTTTACTGATTACTAATTTTTAAAGAATTATCCATCCCCTCTTATATTAAATCTATCACATTCTTCACAAAGTCCTCCTAAATGTCCCTTAAAACATAGTTTATCATTAACAACCCAACCTCCTTAACAAAGATGTGGGTTTTTGTGGCATAATTCTACATTATCAGAAGTGTAATGTGGTCTCCAATAGCCTATTTTTAGTAAAATGTTATTTGATGATATTGCTTAAAATTTATTTATATCAAAAATTGAACATTTTGTTGCATTATATGTGACTGAATAAAAACCTTATTCTGATTAACATTTTTGGCAACTTGAGGAAATGTAAAATTCCCCCAGTTAGCAGAGAAATGGCTTAACTCTCATTAAATAGGCTAAACTCTCATCATTATAGTTTGTTTTACAATTGATTACAATTTCTTAAATTTTATCATCTTACTCAAAAGGATCCATATTAAACTCTAAATGACCTAAATTAAACCTTTTTGATTCATTTTCAAAATTGATTTCTGATATTTGGGTGGATTTAATGGCTTTTTATAACTGTATATCAAAAATTTATTGTATTATATTACAAGAAGTATTTACAAAGTTATTTTATTGCTCATTCATGCCATTTAAAAAAAAAATCCTTAGATCATAAACATAAGATTAATATTTCTAAAGCTTAGGATGATAGAGTTGATATTCTTGTATTTCTTGTCCACTTGGTAGAAGTAAAAATTATGTATTTATCAAGCGATTTTAAGATATTATTTTAAATGGTTTTATTATTAATAATTATACTGGATGATTTTCAATTATTTTTTATTGTGAAAACATTTCTATATGATTAAGAAATAAAGATAATCGAGAGGGTGATTCATTTAAATTATTAAAAAATTATTAACCTTAATTTAATATGAGTAGAGATTAAATAAAATTATTTTGATTTAATCTATTATTTCCATTTAAGTACACTCCACCTGCTTCATCTGCTTTATTATAAGGGGTTATAGTAGATTTTATTTTAAATTTAGAATCACCTAAATCAAATAGATACCACCTCCTTTCTGTGAAGCTGTATATTAGATGATTTTGCAATTTGATATATAACATCCTAAATGTTAGACAAAGATACCAGATCCTAAACTTCCATTATGAGAGATAAGAGTTGATTGATCAATTAAGATGTTACTTTCTTAATTTTCATTTGATTTAGCTGTTAAACAGCCATATTATGTGATTTTGTTTATCATACAATAGAATTGAGAGATATAAGGGTTCTCAACATTAATTATTTCAGAATTCAGTAAACCATCCCAACAATGATGACAGATATTATG